TCTCTCTCTCCTCTCTCTCTCTCTCTCTCTCTCTCTCTCTCTCTCTCTCTCTCTCTCTCTCTCTCTCTCTTCTCTCTCTCTCTCTCTGTCTCTCTCTCTCTCTCTCTCTCTCTCTCTCTCTCTCTCTCTCCTCTCTCTCTCTCTCTCTCTCTCTCTCTCTCTCTCTCTCGCTCTCAAGGGCAAGAAAGTGGGTGATGCGCTGACGGTGCATTTTTCAGTCTAAAATGAGTCGCATAAAACGTTCCAGCGTTTGAGCGGTGTCCCGTTTCTTAGCATCCACAGGAAGGTGCATTTGCAGGAGCAAAGAAACACACTGCTGACAGAGCAAAAACTTTTTCAGGAGTTTGCTAGTGTTGAGATTATGATAGCAAGTGCTCACATCAGCAACTAAAACTACAACTATTCAAACATTTTTGTTAATTGAAATAAAGCTGAAAGAAAAAGAATATATGTAAATATTAGATGAAAAACCTATTTCAGTTAGCTTCCAAGGCAACGTTTCAAATTTTTGTCTGAAGTTGAAGCACTAAAATTACTAACTGTAAATAAAAGAAATAAATAACTAAAACTGAAATAAAAATAAATTAAACTTAAAAAAGAAACCTACTAAAAAAGACAAAAGCACATAACAAAATGACAAAAAAAAATTTCAGATTTACTCTTGATTTTAATTTAAGGTTTTATTTTAAGTTTTGGTAATTTTGTTGTGTGTTTTTGTCATTTTATTAGTCTTTATAGTTTACATTCAATTCTATTTTAGTTTTAGTTATTTTAGTACATCAAGTTAAACTAAATGAAAATGAGAAATGTTGCCTTGGCAACTAGCTGAAATAAAATGAGTTTAGTTTTTTTTTATTTAATTTATTTAGTTTATTTAATTTCAAGTAATAAATAAATAATGGTTTCAGATTTAGTTTTAGTTACCTATAATAACCCTGCATCATACCAGTGTTATTTTAGTGTTATTTTCATTCATATTTTGAATCCATTTTTATATTTTGCATTTTCATTTAAATTTTACTGAAATTTTTAGTAATTCTGTAGTGTGTTTTTGTCCTTTTTTTTTTTTTTTTTTTTAAATGTCTCTATAGTTTTCATTGATTTTTATTTCAGTTTTAGTTATTTTAGTACATGAGGTTAAATTAAATGAAAATGAGAAGTGTTGCCTTGGCAACTAGCTGAAATAAAATGATTTTTTTATTTTATTATAAGTTTTTTATATTTATAAGTTTATAATTTATTTTATTTTTATTTAAAGTATATTTTATTTGAATTATCAAAATTTGTTTTATGGGTTTAACCCTGCATCACACTTTTGCTAATAGTAAAATAATCAAAAGTAGCATTTGCAAAACCAAAGTGTTTTTTTTTCTTTTTTTTTTTTTTTTTTTTTAAATGTCTCTATAGTTTTCATTGATTTTTATTTCAGTTTTAGTTATTTTAGTACATGAGGTTAAATTAAATGAAAATGAGAAGTGTTGCCTTGGCAACTAGCTGAAATAAAATGATTTTTTTATTTTATTATAAGTTTTTTATATTTATAAGTTTATAATTTATTTTATTTTTATTTAAAGTATATTTTATTTGAATTATCAAAATTTGTTTTATGGGTTTAACCCTGCATCACACTTTTGCTAATAGTAAAATAATCAAAAGTAGCATTTGCAAAACCAAAAGTTAAGCATAATTAATATTATGCAGCTGCATTGCCACTTTAGTGCATCATCATCATCATGCATGGGTTGTTGGCTTATAAACACGCAACAAACATCAGAGAATGACACTTGATATTGATATTTGTTAATGCTGTGTTTAACAGGAACTGATCACTGCCTGGTACATTGGCTTCCTGTGTCTGATCCTGGCCTCGTTCCTGGTCTATCTCGCTGAGAAGGAGGATAACGAGATGTTTGAGACCTACGCCGATGCGCTCTGGTGGGGTCTGGTAAGCCCTTCGCACTAACAAACACGCTTGCAGTAATGTAGCGTGTCCACAGTCTCTCATAATGCAGCCGGAGATCGATATTATATCATGAGCAGATTGCATTCGAAGATGCGTTTCACTCGCTACATCATTGAAGCACATGTATGGACTGATAAACACCATTTGTTTTCTTGACATTCTGTAAGTGCTCTCTTATTATAGAGTTAATCATCATCAGCAGTCAGGGTATATTCTCCTCTCGGGACTCCAGTAAAGCACTGGCATGATTCCTCTGGAAATAAACTGAAGGACATCAGATAGAGCCACAGCTGAAGTTTGCACACAGGACTCTGTGAGGATCATTAATTATGCAGTGATGTTTATCGCTCGCCGAGTTTGATGAGATGATATTTCAGAAAGATCACAGAGGAATCATGTGTGGATGGAGTTTGTGCTCTTGCATAATTTAGTGACAGTTTTTAATATTTACAGATTTTCTGATTTGATTCTTGTGTGAGCGGTTCTGTTTAAATCATCATCTGTAATGAGCTTTCATAGAAAGATTATATTATTTGTTGCATTATTTTGACTGACTGATTAAATAATCAGTCACTTTGTATGTTAATATTGGGGTAAATCGTGTTATAAAAACAAACAAAAGAATATCATATTACATTACATTATATATTTTTTATTTATTTATTTATTTATATACATATTTTATAAAAAAGGAACAACTGAACAAAATCAAAAGAACATTTGTATATTATTATATTACTATTTTTTTTTTTTTGTATGTGTGTATGTATATATATATATAGACATGCACACACAAATAAATAAAATGTGTAATATATTACAATATAATATTTGTAATAATATTTAATATAATAATATATTCATTTATATATACATATACTATATTTGTATGTATATATTTTATCCTTAAGATATTTTTTACATTGGGACGTTATTTTCATTATATTTTAATTTTATATATAATAACAAATTTCCTCCCAAACTGAAAAATAAAATAAGAATATATGATATATTATTTAAATTGTCAAGTATTTATATATGTATATAGGATGAGAATCTAATGGGAATTATCATGCATGTAAATGTATATACTTAATCAATTTTTATTTCTAATCTTAAAACCCACTGGTCTGAAAATGTTTTTTTTTTCTCTATGCAATTTTTTTTTTTTTTTGGATTTGCTGTGAAACGTGACCCAGAAACCATAAGACTTCCCCATTTAAACAGTTAGTATTCAGGCACCTCAGACAGCAGCCAGTGACAGTGACTGAATTACTGTGCAGGATCTGAACTGATTTCACGGCCGTTTTCCTCAATGTCCCACAGATCACTCTGACCACCATCGGCTACGGTGATAAATATCCCATAACCTGGAATGGACGTCTCCTCGCCGCGACCTTCACCCTGATCGGCGTGTCGTTCTTCGCGCTGCCTGCGGTGAGTCTCCGGGGATTCGAGAGGAAATGAACAGATAGAGTCAAACAGGCTTTTAATAGAGTGGAGAGAGCAGACGCTGAATTAGATCACTGCAGTTTATTATGAATATAACAATCCCACTGGCTGCTTAATGTGTTTTTCTTCATAGCAGTTCTGCTTTAATGTAAACACATCTGTGAATTATGATTCATCATTTCGGAATTATTGGAATCAAAGTTTTAAATTTGCATAATGCATTATAAAGGTATTCATAATGCGGAGTCCCACAAGGCTCAATTCTTGCACCGCTCTTGTTTGGCCTGTATGTCTTGTTACATCTATAATTTTTCGAAGCCCATTTATGCAACAGAATAACAAAATAAAAAAGGTAATTGTGACTTCATAATTCAAACTCAAAATTATGACATTTTTTCTTGCAATTCCGAGTTTACATTTCACAATTCAAAATAAAATATTTAATAATAAATACAATTAAAAAATTAAAAAGTAATTGCAACTTTATATTTCACAATTCTAAATAAAATACAAATTAAATAAAAAATATTTTTATTTTATTTAATACTAAATAAAATACATTTAAAATATAATAAAAAAAAGGTAATACAGTTTTTAATTTTACAATTCAGACACTCAGTTCTGAGAAAAAAATCACAAGATACAAACTCAGAATTGCGAGGAAAGAAATTGCAATTAACTTTTTTATTCTGAGGCAAAAATGGGCTTTCATAGAAATGAGTTGTTTGTAATGGATTTTAATGAAATAAATATTCTAAACGTGTAATAATTAATAGAAAATTATTTTAAAATTGATCACAGTTATTCATGAGATCATACAGTGCATTACAAAGAATAATCAATGCATTAAAAATACTCTTATAATGCGTGATATATATGAAAGTGTTAGGGTTTGAATGATATCCTCCTCAGTCCAAAAAGATCATCTAATGAAATTAAGATGAAAAACTCTGAAATCCTTGGATATTTGACATCAGAAACTCAAATACCTGAACATATACACACCCAAACAACAAATATTCAGAGAGAAGGTGGGATGATTTGACTGTTTTTGCTGCAAAAACCTTGCTAAACATTCTAACTAGAGCTCAGGGAAAGAAAGAACCTAATAAAAGAGCACTTTATCAGAAGAAATGACCCCTTTAATGTTGCGACACTCCATTATAGTGTGGTATAATAGACGACACGGCTCCAGTCATCAACGTTTCTTTTCACGCTCCGCAGGGAATTCTGGGTTCTGGGTTTGCCTTGAAAGTTCAGGAACAGCATCGGCAGAAACATTTCGAGAAGCGCAGAAATCCAGCAGCCGGCTTAATTCAGGTACAACACGCCTCATCTCAACGTCCCACATGCGTTCAGTGTCATCGTCTCCGGTTAGCTGCAAAAAAACACTGAATAAGTCAGAAACTGAGAGCTCTGAAATGGTCTGATATTTTCACAGAATCATGAGAAACATGCAAACAAAAATATTGGGCAGCACGACTGTTTTCAACAGTGTTTCTTGAGCAGCAAATCAGGATCATGTGACACTGAAGACTGGAGTAATGATGCTGAAAATTCAGCTTTGATCACAGAAATAAATTACATTCTACAATATAATCACATAGAAAACAGCTGTTTTAAATTGTAACAATTTGACTGTTTTTACTGTATTTTTGATCAAATAAAAGCAGCCTTGGTGAACAAAAAACATAAAATCTTCTTCCAAAAGCAAAAATCTATCTGATCTCATACTGAACAGCTCACCTGTCATTATTTACTCACCCTCATGCTGTTTCAAACCTGTATGAATTGTAATTTTTAGGTGAGTTATTTCTATAATGTATGTTATATTTGAATGTGACTCTGTTTAATGTCATCTCTCAGGCTGCCTGGAGGTTTTACGCCACAAACCTGAATCGCACGGATCTCTATTCGACATGGGACTATTATGAAAGGACCGTTTCGGTGCCCATGTACAGGTACATGTACTTCTGCACGCATTTCCATACCCCATCCGCCTCTCTCTCTCTCTCTCTCTATCACAGCATTCCTCTGGGGTGTCAGATGAGATCTCCTCAGACGTCTCTGCATCGATCTGATCACTGACCTTTGAGGCTGTTTTTGTGCAGATTGTGAAGGTCAACATTGCTGTCCACCCCCTCCCTTCATACCTATGGCATGTTTTATTCATGCATCACGCTTTGATTTCAAATGTCGGCTCAGCAGGGCATGCATGTGATGTTGCATGTCATATGTAATGCTTTGCATCAGCTAATGCTGCTTTTGAGTCATAAAATAGAGTATATGAACATAAAAGCTTTAGAATCATGTGTTTATGATGTGCTTTGTGCAATACAACAAACTGTTATTGATGAACGTGAAGCATCTATTGCACTGCATGCAAACAAAGACTGTTTGATTCAAATCTTTTTTGAAAGAAATTATACTTTTATTCATTAAGGCTGCATTTAATTGATCAAAAGTGACAGTAAAGACATTTATAAATAATGCATGTTTCAAATGCATGCTGTTCTTTTGAAGATTCTATTCATCAAAGAATCTTAAAAAAATATAAAATGTGTCACGCTTTCCACCGAAATATTGGGCAGCACAACTGTTTTCAACATTGATAATAATCAGAAATGTTTCTTGAGCAGCAAATCAGAATATTAGAATGATTTCTGAAGATCATGTGACACTGAAGACTGGAGTAATGATGCTGAAAATACAGCTTTACATCACAGAAATAAATTACAGTTTAACAGATATTCACGTAGAATACAGCTATTTTAAATTGTAATAATATTTCACAATTTTGCTGTTTTTATTGTACTTTTGTTCAAAGAAATTCAGCAAAAATTCACAGCAAAGGAATCTTCTTCCAAAAACATAAAACTCTTTCTGAGCCCCAAAAAATATAGGCAAATATAATTTATATAATTCATATTGCCTGTATTTCATGTTAGAATAAACAGTGATATTTGTTAGTGATTTGAACAAACCTCCCAGAGTATTTGGTGCATTATAAACTTCAAGTTTATCTCTCTGTAGTCAGCTTATACTTTCTCTTTCTGTCCTTTTCTGCCTATTTACAAATGCATTTTATTGTGCACGAAATAGTATAGTAGTTGTGAGTCTAATATATATAATATATGTATAAATAAATACATATATATGCAAATGCCTGTCTTTTTCCTGTACATTCTCTCTCTCTGTCCCTCTCACAGTCAGTGGTGTATTTATTAATAGTACCTTGTTAGTTTTTTGTTGATTTTTCTGTCTAAAGAAGCTTCCAGATTTGCATAAGCATTGCGCAGCATTTCCTCTTCACACATCATCCGTGTGCCAACAGTCTCTGTGTGTTTTTCCAGACTCATCCCTCCTCTGAACCAGCTCGATCTGCTGAGAAACCTCAAGAGCAAATCTGGCCTCTCCTTTAGGTGATGTAAAATGAATTGCATTGTGCCATTTCAAGCTAAGGTAATGCATTTTAATAATTATTAGGATGTAGTTCAAAAACGGTAGTTTAGTTCGTTAAAAGGACTGCATATCATTGCATTCAAAAGTATAATTTTGTTTTCTTACACAGGAAGGAAGCCCAACCAGAACCTTCTCCGAGGTTAGTAAAATCATGTGCATTGTACATATAAATGATCTAATATTTCCCAGACACCACAGATGTTAGATGTGAGTTGTAATGCTTTCTTTTGCATGCATCACGTCAGTTTCTGTGTCATCGGCACCACCTGTGCAGGATGTGTTTCATGGACACTGGTTGTGTGCAAATATTCAATGGGCTCATTATTTATATGTATGTGTGTATTAGTTTGACCTTGTTTGTGTGCAGACAGATGTGTGGCGTTTAATGAGCCAAATGCACATGAATACATCCACCCAAGTTTCAACACAACACTGAAACGCATGTTGTGATGAGAGTGAATCTCTACAGGAAACACTTTATTACAACCTTCATTAACAAACATTATGTAACGCAGATCAGTAGTTCATTCAGATAGGAATATGAATAACAATACTGTTTTACTGTTGATTGTACTTGTTCTAATGAACTATAAAGCATTATATGTTGTCATAATTTTGGGGAATGAATTGAATGCAACTGCAAATACATAAAGATGCACAGTAAACATTACAACTTTCCCTTAAATTATCACTCAATAAATATTTAGGCCTAAATTGAAGATTTGTGTATTTGAATTGCATATAAAATGTCCATGCATTTGGATTACACAGTTTTAACATAAAAAAACTAATACATTTAATGTGATGCATATTTGTCAGGCCTACATAAATGAAATCAGATTTCTGTTACAGTAATAAACTAATAAACAGTAGTAAAAAACACATTTATATATTTATCATCAATAAATCCACTTTGTTTCAATCTCATACATTTTTACTAATTGAATATTGCTTGTTCAACAGCTAGGCATATTTTAACAATGTTCATACTTTTTAGCTGAATAAATGTAATTATTTTCAAAATTAAGAGATTTATGTTTATTCTAAGCTATTTGAATAAATGCATTTTGAAAATATGCTTATTTAAATTATGTAGATACAAACGGATAGTAGATGCAAGGAGTTAATAATAAACTATGCCATGTTTTTTTAGTACAGAAATCAGACCTGTTTCATTGATGTTTGACATAAACTAATAAACTTAATGTGATGCATATTTGTCTGTTAAAACTGTGTAATCCAAATGCATGAACATTTTATATGCAATTCAAATGCATTCAAGTTTAGGCTTAAATATTGTATTGAGTGTAAATTGAGTGTTGAAGCAAAATTAATGACAGGCTCTTGAACTAATGGAAATTTAATGCACACTCAAATTGGTGATGCAACGTAAAATTAGTCATTTATGCATGTTTTATTTCATTTTTCAGATATATTCAGGATTTTATTAAATAAACATGGAATTACTTTCATAGCCCTGCAATCATAATAAATTAATCAGCATCCTTGAAATGTCTCAACCAATCAGAATATGTAAAATGGTAACATGCAATCCTATTATGCATTTTACCAAATCAGGTAAAACTCTTGGGTGAATGTTAACTTATCTAGTGAAGTTTTATAACTTTCCAGATCATTTTCAGTAGTTTTTGAGTGTTTGACACAATTACTTTTTCCTAACATCATAACTAAAGCATCTGCAAACCCTCAGTCTCTAACTTCTACACTCTTACACCCTTCACAGTCAGAAAGTGAGCCTGAAAGAGCGTGTGTTCTCCAGCCCGAGAAACTCTGCGAACAAAGGGAAGAACTCTCCTCAGGGCCAGCAGCCCCTGCGATGCTCTCCCAGTGCTGACAACAGCATCGAGGACAGTCCTTCCAAAGTACCCAAGAGCCTCAGCTTCAGCGACCGCAGTCGGGCCAGACAGGCCTTCCGCTTCAAAGGCGCTGCGTCCCGCCAGAACTCAGAAGGTGAGGGAAAGCAACCCGTTCCTGTGTGCTTATCCAGTGTTGCCTCTTTGGTCGTATCTGTCTGCTTTGGTCGTGGTTTTGTAGTTGTAGAATGTTACAATTGTTACAGAATGTGACAGGATGTTACATACACAGAATGTTACAGAATATTAGTTGTAGAATCTTAAATTTGTTACAATTGTTACAGAATGTTACTTGCGCAGAATGTTACATACACAAAATGTTACAGAATATTATTTGTAGAATCTTAAAATTGTTACAATTGTTACAGAATGTTACTTGCGCAGAATGTTACATATACAGAATGTTACAGAATGGTAGTTGTAGAATGTTACATTTGTTACAATTGTTACAGAATGTTACAGAATATTAGGTCATAGGGCTGAACGATTAATTGCATTTGCGATAATATCGCGATATTAAAAAATTAGATTTTTCAACCGCAGAGGCTGCGATTACACTCAGTCACGTGGCACGCGAGAGTAAAGAGGTGTGTTTGACTTGAAGATCAATCGGTGTATGACATCAAAGTACGGCGAGAGAAAGCATAAGGAGACGTCCGTGCTCTCTTATAGCTCTCGCAGTACTTTGATGACACACACCCATCGGTCTAAGCAGCGCTGCTTCAAGTCGAGCACATCTAAGCAGTCTTCAGAGGAAGCATCAAGTTGGCACGCTACAGTGTTGCCAAGTCCACGGTTTGGGGAACCCCTCCAAAAAACGTGTATTTTACCCCCTGGAACGCGATTTTTACTGATGGACCCCCCCTCGAAACGCTATTGGGCTAGTTTTGAGTAGAAGTTGGGCGGGTTTCGTTGTGAAAACCTGGCAACCCTGGCACGCTACACACAGAAATGTTTGAAAGCGTATGAACGTACTTCAAAACGGCACATGGAAATTACTCAAGCAGTAACAGTGTTACGGTGCATTTCATTACTGAAGACTTCGACCTTAAGATAATATATATATATATATATATATATATAATAAGGTAATATATATATTCTTATTTATTTATTTAAAGTCTGTCTAAAGTTAACAGTGTTTAAAAAGTGCAGTGATTAGGGTTTGGCTTAGGGTTACTTGCATGTAATTATGCATAATTAATTGTTATTATAATAGTAACTACATGTAACATGTGTAACAAGGGCACCTTAAAATAAAGTGTTACCGAATATTACATACACAAAATGTTACAGAATAATAGTTGTAGAATGTTACATTTGTTACAATCGGTACAGAATGTTACATACACCGAATGTTACAGAATGGTACTTGTAGAATGTTACATTTGTTACAGTTGTTACAGAACGTTACAGAATGTTACTCATCACACTTAAAAGTTGTAGATTCAAATGCAACAAGTGACAATCATGAAGCGCAAGATCAATGTTATAGTTTGTATATTTAAAGTCGCAGTAGATACGATGTCAGACAATGAAAAACTAGTGCCTGGATGAGGAATTATACTAGTCTTATGTATGAGATTGTTTTAAACTGGTCAGACATGTCCATCTTCACTTGAATAAGTTGCATTGAGATTTTTAGCTTTATCTGCAGTTGAAAAGACATTAAGTCAGAAACAGATTAGATCAGATTAATTTCATACAATCCAGATTCAGAATCAAGTACCACACATCAGGATTCTTATTCTGTCTTTCTGTTGTGCCATTGCATGTGATTTTTGCAGTGTTGTATTGTGATCAGTGTAATTCTTTCTGTCTGTGTTATTTTTGTGCATATCAATTTTATCTTAGTATAACCGAGTCACATGTTGCTTTTGCTGCCAGTGTATTTGTGGAGAAACTCTGAAACAGTTCTTGAGTTGAAGATTAGGAGCTAAATATTTTATTAGCTAAAATGTGCAATAATTTATTTAAGCTATTTAAGATAGCTAGTTTTATGATTGGTATGAATACAGTATATGATTTCATGACATATATTATGGCATAAATATATATTATTTTACATACCAATCATAACATTTGGCCTGAATCGTAAGACTGCGTGTTGGAATATTTAAATATAATTTATGAAAATGTTTGTGCTTTGGTTACACTTTCCACAAAGTGCAAATTCACTGATTATTTGTGGTTTTCAGAAACCTGACATTTTATTTAATAATGTACAGTTTCAGATGGCTAAATATAAAGGCAGTCAGCTGTGAAACCTAATAAAACTCTCTGACAGAATCATGTGGATGGCAGATTGTGGAAAGGTCGACCTTTTGTAATCCATGTGCGTGTTTATGATTTTCCCCTCGTTTTTTCTGATGAATGTGGATCCTGATGCTGTCCTTTCCGTTTCTATGTTGGATGCTGATGCTAAAGTGCTCATTGAGATGCAAGAGGAAGATTTGAGACACAGGAACTCTCCAGGTCAGGCAATCCAGATGGGTTGGGCTCCCATTCTACGTCTTAAAACCAAAGCACCATATTCAATCAAACTAACCAGCTTCAGTCACAGCACAACTACCAGTCTGCACATATGCTTTGAGTTTGGTTTGGGCTATGATTAACATATTACTTATCTTACATGCTTTATAAAAAGTTGAATTTTATTGATTTTTTTAATTAATTGAGCAATATCACACACAATCATGCTGTTGTTCTGAATATTAACCTGTGGTTTCACTAGTCCAGTTTATTCCTTATCTGATTTAATTGGGTTTCATTCAAAGTAAAGCTCAAGAGTCTCTTGACTAAAGCTCTTTTGATAAAGCATGCTAAATGTATTAATTTATTTATTTCACCCATTTAAAGCTACAGTATATAAGATTTTCCATTCTTAAATGACTGCATATCTCTCAGGACTGCTGGGATGAATTGAAAGAGAGACTCAAATGAGAACTTGTGGTGCTGTTTTAAAGTATCCAGATCATGAATAATATTGTTGTTGGAAGTCTTTTCATTAGTTGTGAGGGTCAAATATATCTCTATTTAAGGATTCAGCTCTCATTAAATGGCCACCAGGAGTCAACCAAAGTTCGTCAGCCAAATGTGATCATCTGATAATATTGAAATTTAGTCATATATGCATGCATGTCTTTAAGAGGCAGTGTACCAAATTTAGTGTATCTCAGCCACTAGGTGATGCTGTAAGCAAATGTTCATTACTCAGAAGCCATACGGGGTCACATTGCATTTTCTATTGGAAAAACTTCCACTATTTTGAATTTCCTGAAAAACACACTTTTTCAAACTCAATCTAGGTATTTGTTCTGATTGACATTAAATTTTCTTACAAAAAAATTATATAATTTTAAATAATCTGATTGTTCAGCAGACACAAGTCAATAAAATGTTCAGGTGTAGTCCATATTGACTAATAATCCTGTATCTTGTGAATGCAGTGTGCAAATTTAACAAATGTTGGTGCACAAGGACACCAGGACAGTCTGAGGAGATGCACCAAATTTCATGAAATTACGCCTAGAGGGCACTACAACTTGGAAGCTTCATAACTCCACAACTCAAGAAATTGATTAAAATTTGATTAGTTTGGATCCAGTTCATTGCCACTTCTATACTGAGCACATCACAGCGGTCTGAGCATATGCCAGTCTGTAAAGTCTTACCTGCTTTAAATGCTGGATTTTCTATTGTGCTTTTTTTGAACAATGAAAAGTTTTAGTTAAAAAATCTGATTTTCTGTTAAAATGCTTGCATGTTTAAGATACCTTTGAAAACTTTTTTTTATTTATTGTTTTCAAATGCTTTGCTTTTTTATTGCAATGTCAAAATGTATTATGCTCTAAAACAAAATCTTTTTTAGTTAGTTACATTTTGTTTACAAGGTGCTGCTAATTGGTCAATGTGTAGTTATCAGTCTAATCCTGTTACTAAAGTCCCATAGACTGTGAAATATAGTCATTGTCCTAAAACATGAATATATATATATATATATATATATATATATATATAGTAACAGATTTAAAACAACAAAACTGAAGTCAAATTACATTAAAATCCAATCAAAGTCATGGTACATTGCAGAAACACTACATTTCATATTGCACTTGTTTTTTACCCTGATCTGCATGAGATATTTTATGATGCAACTAAACCTTCTATATTTCATGTTGTGTATTTTTAAAGATTTTTTTCATCAGTGTTCTTTTATGAGTGATGAGTTTCTTTAATAGTAACAGCATATTAATGATTGTTCCCCCTTAACGTCTAGCAATTTCAACTAGTCATGCTTTACTTCTGTTTCAGTAATGATGCTGTTAAGTTCATGAAATATCTTGCATCATCTATAAATTGCTATCAAGATGTCAGATGGTTAGAATATATAAAGGCAATCATAGTAAGAGTTATCCTTGTGATTGCACGAATGTCCAGCTGATGTCTTGTTAGTGTGCAGAATTCAGTTTGCACCTTCACTTGAATGTCATTTCATTGTATTTAAAAGCTGACACTCTTTGAGTATTTGTATCTGAACATTTCACATCTTGCAAGAAATAGTGAGTGTCATTTCTCTGAAGGTGAATCATTTATTTGAAGCACTGAAGCTTTGGATAACTGCACAACGAAATTTGGCTTTAGAACTAAATCTGGTTCACCTTCTGAATGTATCACAGCAATTGAAGGGTTAATCAGTAAGAGATTATCACACAGGAACTCGTTTTTACCAACCCTAGAACTAGTGCTAGTTGACGGCTGCAAACTAGCACTCTTTTACCTGCATGTGAGGAAAACTAGTTAGTCCTGAGGAGGAAACATCAATGCAATAAAGACCACAGAGCTCTGAAACAACTAGTCAACCTCATTAAACTGGTTTCAGACGTCATTATTCACTCGAGGGTTTGGAGCCAGACAGTTGTTTTAAGGCTCTGTGGTTTATTTGGCATAATAAGCACAGGTAGATTTATTTGTACGCACCTGTACTGTGCCAGATGGTCTGTGCTAGCTTATGGGAACACAGGAGAAAGACACTGTGACCCAAAATGACAGATGCGATCAGCGTTTTGCGTGAATATAAGAAACTGGGCAGGATGTGAGGAAAACTAGTTAGTCCTGAGGAGGAAACATCAATGCAATAAAGACCACAGAGCTCTGAAACAACTAGTCAACCTCATTAAACTGGTTTCAGACGTCATTATTCACTCGAGGGTTTGGAGCCAGACAGTTGTTTTAAGGCTCTGTGGTTTATTTGGCATAATAAGCACAGGTAGATTTATTTGTACGCACCTGTACTGTGCCAGATGGTCTGTGCTAGCTTATGGGAACACAGGAGAAAGACACTGACCCAAAATGACAGATGCAATCAGCGTTTTGCGTGAATATAAGAAACTGGGCAGGTTAGTGTTATTTAAAAAGATAGTTCACCCAGAAAATAAACATTTGCTGTTAATTTACTCACCCTCAGGCCGTCCAAGATGTAGGTGACTTTTTTCTTCAGCAGAACAGTAAACTGTTCTCCTTGGTGATTCATAAAATGCAAGCGGCTACCAGTTTTGAGAATTAAAGAAAAACATATCAAGGAACACAAAATGAATACCCGTGGCTCCTGACGATATATTAAAACCTTATGAAGTGAAACAAATGGTCTGTGCAATAAACTGAACATTATTTACCACATTATTACCTTTAAGTGATAATGACTCTAAATAAGTGGTTCTCAACCGGTGTGAGACGTGACCCAAAACTGGTTTACAGGTCTGTTTTGTTAAAGAAAATATGCTTTAAATGCTGGTTACAGATTTGGCATTGTGTTGGGTGTTCAACATAAAACCAGCAAAGAACCGCTGCTTTATCTATCTATCTATCAGTCATTTTAAATCAACTAGCATTAGTGAAATTTGCTAGCAATTTTTCAGTGTCCTTATTTAACATCTTTAATTTAAATAGCACTTGATTTGATATATTATTATGTGATGCAGTGATGTTCATTCAGTTTAACTGTTTAAGTGTCCGAATGTGTTTTTGGGTCACTGTATGGCTTTATTGTTTTTTGGGCCACAGTTGTCTTGGACGTCTCCCATGATGCCCTTCTCGTACCTGTATAAAGATGGCATTGCACTGACCGGCCTGGTGTGGGACTGAGCTAGTTAACCGAGTTAACGGCTGCGGCTCTGCTAAGTTTAGGTTTTGGGCTGAATGGAGGGTTTAGGGGGTTTGTGCACTAACTCCAGAGTCCTGCTGTCCGTGTTGTGTTTTTTAGAAGCCAGCCTTCCCGGAGAAGACATTGTTGATGACAATAAGAGCTGCCATTGTGAGTTTGTCCCTCAGGATTTAACGCCGGGACTAAAAGTTACCATCAGGGCCGTGTGGTAAGCAAAGATGAGACAGGCAGCATCCATCAGACGTGTAATATTATTGATAAAACTACAGCAGTCTGCATCACATAATATTACCTCATAAACTCAGTCTTTCCTGAATGTAAGTTACAAAACATGTTACATTCAGTCTTTTGAATCCTTTGTTACATTCACACTTTCATTGCTCAGATCACGCCAGCGACTCTTATGCATGAGATATTTTGGTCAGTATCAAGCCTGAAAATATATATATATCAGTGTCTGGGACTCAGTTATTGAGTTAATCTCACAAAAGCATATATTCATATTTTACTGCAAGTAATGAAAATTAAAAAACCTTATGGTACAGGGTTATTGTAGTTAACCATAAAATAACATTTTCTTTATTTAAATAAAATCAAATAAAAATAATATTATTTTAACTTATTTTATTTTCATTTATTTTATTTTTTAATTTATTTCTCATTTTTATTTAATTGAGCTCGATGAGCTAAAATATCTCAAACTGAAACTGAAATAAAAATGGATAAAAACTATATAGACTTAAAAAGAAATTTAAACAAACAGACCACAGCAAAATGATTAAAACTTGAATGAAAATGGGAAATATAAAAATAAAACTAATTCAAAATATTAGTGAAAACTGTAATAGTGTATCTCAGTTATACTAAAATACTCTGGGTCCAAGAAATCAGTGTTATTTTAGTATCATTGTGATACTGTTGTAGTTTTTATTAATACTTTGAATTAGTTTTAATAATTTCTGTTTTCTTTTCAATTTTAGTCAAAGTTTTAGTCATTTTGTTGTGTGCTTCTGTCATTTTTATTAGTTTTTGTTTTATTTAAATATGGTTTAATATAACCATATAGTTTTTATTCATTTTCATTTCAGTTTTTATTTTTTTTTATTTTAGTACATAAACTAAATGAAAATGGGAAACGTTGCCTTGGCAACTAGATTCAAGAAAAAAACGTAATTATTTGGTTTTATTTCAAGTAACAAACTAGCCAAAATCAAATGAGTTTGAAAATGATTTGTTTTATATATTTTTTATTTTATTTCTGTTTTATTTATTTATTTATTTTCAAGTCATATTTGTCATGGTTTTAGTTTAGAAGTAAGTAATCAAAACATATTTTCTTGTTTCTTTCTTTATATTTTTGGGGTGAAATATGACCTGGCCATGTTCTCGACAGCTTCTCAGCCTTTGTTTTTATGTAAAGTGTTAAGCGTGATAATGTGTGTGATTGTTTCTTCCTGCAGCATCATGAGGTTCATGGTGTCCAAGCGAAAGTTTAAAGAGAGTCTGCGGCCGTATGACGTGATGGACGTGATCGAGCAGTATTCGGCCGGACATCTGGACATGTTGGCACGCATTAAAAATCTGCAGTCCAGGCAAGAGATACAGCTGCTTCTCTTTCTCTCCTCACACCGTCGGACATGACAGTGACGCTTGACTCATACACACTAGACAGTGTTGTGTTGTGTTGTGTTGTGTTGTGTTGTGTTGTGTTGTGCATGGCTCAGTTTCCTAAAGGTCTCTCACTGGTTTAATGTTCGTATCTGTCCGAATCAGAAATGTGTTGTGTTGTGTTGTGTTGTGTTGTGTTGTGTTGTGTTGTGTTGTGTTGTGTTGTGTTGTGTTGTGTTGTGTTGTGTTGTGTTGTGTTGTGTTGTGTTGTGTTGTGTTGTGTTGTGTTGTGTTGTGTTGTGTTGTGTTGTGTTGTGTTGTGTTGTGTTGTGTTGTGTTGTGTTGTGTTGTGTTGTGTTGTGTTGTGTTGTGTTGTGTTGTGCATGGCTCAGTTTCCTAAAGGTCTCTCACTGGTTTGATGTTCGTATCTGTCCGAATCAGAACTGTCCTCACATGTATGTCTACGATACCCAAAAACTGCTGTCTTCAGTGACATAATGTGCTGTTTTGTGTGTTCAAATGTCTTCATTGAGAAACATTGTCTACATTTTCATTTACTGAGATACAATATCGTGATATTTTAGCAGCATGTGTGGGTCAATAATGATGTGACACTTATTTATTATTGACAGATCTATTAATTTCTTCAGAAGTAATGTAAAAGGCAGTTCATACTCTGGAAAAACTTAAACAATGTTCACTCAGAAATTGCTGGTAAATTTCACAAATACTAAAAAAAAATGGCAAGTAAATCATAAAACCCAAAGAAAATGATTCAGAAGTGCTGAAATGGTGTGTGGTGTTTGTAAAACAAACAAACAAAAAATTAACTTAATATAAATTTGAAACATAAATGTGAAAATATATTTAAGATTTGCACACCTAAGGAAAATATTTTATATTTTATACAAATAAAATCAGAGAAAACATGATATTCATGATTCTGAAATTCGTATTTGTAAAAATATTTATGTAAAAATATGTTTATAAAGATTTGTACTCTAAAGATGTAATGAAAAATGTTATTATATTTTATTAGATACAATATTTAAAAATGTACGTTTTTTTAAATATATATATAATTATAAATAATAAAATATCATACGATAAAATCTATCATATTTAAATTTGACATTAAAACAGCAAAAAAAATATTAAATAAAAAGATTTTATTCTGTTTGATAAGATCAAATATTAAAAAAAAAATATATATATATTTTATGATATATTTAATTATATTTAAATATTTTATTGTCAACTTTTTATTGTAACTTCGCCAGACACTAATAAAGTTTCTCGATGCCATATGAAATCAACATTATCATTGTTTATATTTATAATTTATATAGTTTATATTTTATTGTTTATTCATATACATTTTGATTGAACTTGTCATTAAATGAAAGTTTGATTGAAAATAGATTTTTAAAGCCATGAAACTGAAATCATCATCATTGAAAACTGCTACCTACCTATTAAAGTAATCCAACACAGACACATCCGTCTTATTTTATAGGCCAGTCCTCCTATATGTATGAATTAATAAATGTGGTTATGATTTGACATGTGAATATATTCCTGCTTATAAATAAGCACACATTACTGGCATACTTTCATCACACGATGATCGCTGGCAGCAAGTGCGAGAGCTTTTCACGGTAATGAACTCAATGAAGTATGTCTGGAATATATTTGGAGGGTCTGTTGTTGTTGTTGGTTTGGGTTTGCGCCGCTCGTGTCACGTCACTCTGCATTCTGCTGTCCTCTACTCTATTTGCTTTGCCAGGTTAGATATGATATTGGGTCCTCCGAGTCCCGGCACCCCTCGCCAAAAGAAGTGTTCAACCAAAGGAACCACAGAGTCGCCCCAGTTGTCTTCTAGGTTAGGATCCCGGGCCTGCGTTAGATCTCTCTCGCTCCAGAGACCAACCAAGAAACCTGCTTCTGCTTCAGACTACATGGCTAGTAGAAACTGAGCTACCTAAACAAACTAGTCTATTATTGCATCGAGCCTGAACGCTCCGGGTGGCTTCTTTCTAATTCACTTCATGACCTTGCTTTGCTGTGACCGAAGTGTTTTGTAGAGACGTTTAGTCGAGGGGAACCAAATATCACATTTCGGTGAGTTACTAGTCATGTAGCTGAACTAAAACTGGTTAAGCTAGTTTGCCTGCACCGCGCTGTGTGGAAATGAAGAGTTGCGGCAGCAAATGGAGATGCATTTTTTTCATTTAGCATCGCTGTTTTTGCGTATGCATGCATTTTTCAGGCATGCCACATGATGCACAGTATTTTTCCTTCATGCTTGATTCCCACCGATCTTCTTTTTTTAAAGCAGCCAAACAACACATCCGATGCCGTATTTAGATCAGACGCACCCCTGCTAGTGTAGTCCATCAGCTTTGGATAATGTGTCAAATGTGCGGCTAATACTGTAATATGCAACTAAAGATGTGATTTCACTTCGACACATTGTTCAAAAGTGGCAAATATCAACAGAAAACGTCCGTCTGGAGGGCCTGACTCTTTCTGTCCAATCATCTCTGTTTCTCTGCGTGTGGACACGCCCCCTCATTATCATATCCCTCCCTCTGCATGCATTCGTTGATTTACACTGCTTTGTGCTTTAAGATAGAATAAATGCTTTATTATTTCTTAAAGTTAAGAATTTGTACATCTTTGATATGAATGTTGTTATTATTATAACAGTTCGGATAAATAATGTGATTAACAATTTTCTATGCATTATATGTCATATAGTAATTGATATTTATTATTATTTATATATTTATAAATATATATTAATTATTTTAAATCAATTATAACAAAAATGTGATAAATGAAAATTATGTATGTATTATATGTCATAT